GCCAAAGCCGGGATTTGGGAATTCGCTTAATATAATGCTTAAATTCTATCTGGAAGGCTCAGAATCCAAACAGGTATGAAGTTCAAAAATTTAAAGCACAGTATAAAATTTTTTTTTGGGGTACCACAAAATGTGTGCATGAACCGTAACTTTTACTACTCGACCCACTGGGGGGTATTTTCAATGGGGCAAAAAGATAGGGTTTTGAAACTGCAGAATGACATTTAAAGGATTAGAACAATTCTCTGGCACGTTCACATTCTTCCACAATCCTTTTGAACCATTTCACAAGATTAGAGTCCTGAAGTTCAAGGCACCAGAGGTCAATAATGGACGAGGAACCTAACTCCGTGGTTTAACACTAGGCAACCAGGGACAATTCTTCAGTAAACGCGCCAAAAACTATTCTCTTCGAAAGTTTATTCATTCTAGTAAAAGATATAATGTTAAGCATGAAGAGACCTGAAATCCGCAATACCTTTCAGCTGAATGTTTGGCTGGACACCTGCCAAATGCACGAAACCCAAACTCAGTGAATATTTTGATTTTCCATATTTAGTTAGGAACAGATTTTATTTTAATGTTTGCTTGCTTCGTAGGAATGAATAAAAAGATTCCTCTGACCAAATAGTTCTCGTGCCTACACACGTAGTGCTTGCAACAGCAGAAGCCACAGGGCATGTCACAGCACAGTACTTCCAACCTGAAGTGTGGGTCTTGCAATTCATGTATTAATAGAATCAAAACTTTGAGAAGCTCTGTGTGCGCGTACTTGCACACACACACACACACACACACACCTTAGATGGCGCTTATATAAGACCTACTCAGATTAAAAGCAGAGAGAGTTCCTGGACCTATCAAAAGAACATCACTGTGTAAGACTGAAAGGGATAAAAGGATTGTGAGCTGCATAGAAACCAAAGAAAAAAAACAAAATAAGGAGAAATCTGGTCACAGAAAGGGCACAGGAAATGCCTTGTTGTAGGCAAGTAGGCAGCAATGCTTATCAGAACGTCACAAGGGACTTTGATGCTTCGCAGATTCCCAAGAAGATATTTCCATTTGTTCACAAGGACATGAAAACATACAAAGACAAAACAAAGCCTTTCTCTCTTTAAGGAATATCCTGCTCAATGGAAAAGATTATTCATTTCTTTAGATTGGTATAGAATTATAACCCCCTATCTTCCCCCTCTCCCCCCCCCCCACAATGTTTAGATCTGAATATCTACAGAGAACAAAAAAATACAAGGAATGTTAAGTGGAGCTGTAACTAGTGTTTTTTTAAGCTTTAATTTAAGCTTTGAAGCTGCAAAGCTGGTCCTTCGACCATGAGAGATCAAACTAGAGGATAGAGGGAAAATTAAACAGCAAACAATTCGGTGGCAGAGTAAGAATTAAAGTTGTAATAACAGCAGGTTATAAATGTGGGCTGGCAGGGCAAGACTAGTTGTGGGTGGGAAAGAAAAAGTGGGGACAAATGGCTGGATCCGTTCACATCTTTAAGACTGAGGTGAATAGCTATTTGTTAGGTCAGGGTATTAAGGGATACAGGGCAAGGGCAGGTAATTGGACTTCAGCCATGATCTTATAGAATGGCGGAACAGGTTCGAGGGACTGAATGGCGTACTCCTGTTTCTATGTTTCTAAAAAGGAACAATGCAGTGACTTTCTTTGATGAAGAAATCAAGAAATCAATTTTCTGGCAAGGCTGAGATAGCGAATTTCACCGGAACATCCCCGAATTTCCGTAATTGAAGGAATATAAAAAAGGTCAAACAGCAACTATGAATTATCCCGTTTCCCTCTCCTTTCTTCAATATCCTACCCATTGCCCATGTCATTCCCCATCTGAAGAACTCGCTCCATTGGTGCCGACTGCTGACGAGCAATTGAGAAATGTGTCAAATGGCTTGCCCCAACCCTCTCCCACAGGTACTGAGACTCTGCTCTGTTGCACTATGGCTGAGATGAGAAGCTAGCTCATCATTTAATTCCTAAAACTGCAATAGATTTAAGTGAAACTGCAGCGTTTTTTTGGAACAAAAATGGGGCATTAATTTAAACCTGCAATCAAAAGGTCTGATGCTAACACAGCTTGCCCCCACGCTGTGCAGCATTAAGTTCATTAGCTTTATTTAAGCTCATAAATACTGTAGAACAGACAGTAAGCACATTCAGATGAAGCAGCAACAGTGATCGGACTGATCTTGTGCGAGCTATTTTGCCGCAGCTATTACATTAAGAACATTGCTTCTCTCCTCAAATCAGCAATTTATGGTTGAAATAGCTCACCCCTCCCCCAACTATTAATCTAGCTTGATGATTTTAATTATTCCTTGGATCCAATTATATTTCTTTTGCATTGGGAAACTATCATATTTTATGCACCAAAGAACTTACTAATTATTTTAAATCTCAGTAGCAATCCGCTTATTCTAAACGTCTCATCAGCTGGAAGCCAGTTAGAGCGAGTTCTCAAGTTCAAGACACTCTGCACTCAACGCAATTTCACATATTATTTTGGGCTAGCTGGCACACAGAGCCACAATGTGACCTTGTAAAAAAACATAAGACTATTAAAGAAAGATTAAAAGAAATTAGATAAGCTCTTCCTGTATAAAGAAGTTTCCCATAGTGTTTAGTACTTATTTTTCTCTGTTAATTTAACAGAAATGCACAGAAACAGATCATTCGGATGACCAAGTCTGTACTTGTGTTTTTCTCCACGTGAGCCACCTAGTCTAATCCTGCACTCCTGCTTTGCTCACTCCCCAAACCCTTTAATGTGCCTCTTTTTCAAACATGTAATTCTTCTTCAAAAGAATTTATGGACTCAGCAAATTGTGGTGAGAGGGAGAGTGAGAAAGGAAAAGGAAGAAAATTTAAGATTCTTTCCCCCGAAACGCACTGTTTGCACAAATGGTTTGGTGTGCAACAGACATCTTTTGAATCGGATTCTAAGGCATGAAACTGAAGCTTTCTCTCAGTTAAATTTTTGCCTTTGCAATCACAAAACAGGAGCAGTTGGGAAGTTGCAAGCTCAATAGGAGACGGCCAACTGTACTTTGAAATCACAAGTCTCATTTTTGGTTCCAGATCTATACTGTTTTCTGTGTGTACACGTTTATCCAAATATGCCTCATTGGTTTATACCTCATCGCAAAGCTCTTGCAAGAGGGTGGGCATTTTTGTGGGGGCGGGGGGTAGGGTGATCTCCTATGGTCGATGAGCTCAAACAAGCTCATCACACATGTATGGCAGTTTTGCTTAAGGTGTACACACAGTGTTTATGGCATGTTAAATGGTTTGTGAGTGGTATCACTGAAATCTACATTTCATATTGGATCCTTTGGTTGCAAGCATAGCTGCAACGGTTATAGATAGTATATTATATAAAAGAAGAAAATTACATTTATCACTGTCAATTCACACAAATAAGTTTAGATATAAATGATTACACATGCTTAATCTTTTGCTTAGGAGTCATAAAAGTGAGTGACTGATAATGGAAGTTTGCTTCAGAGTCATACCGTGATGCGGAAACTAAAACCAGTTCTGCGCTTACTAAAACTAGCTGGAGGGCAACATTTTTTTATTACTCCAAAGCAAAGTGCACAGCACAGCCAGTGGAAAAAAAGCCCAAGTCTTTTCAACCAGAACCGAGCATGTTTAAAAGATAAAGCCCGAAGGCATGGATTTTGTGCCCTATATAAGTAAACAGGTTGAGACGATCTGGGGTTACAGAAAAATGCACCACACCAGCCAGAGTGAAAGGTTTGGATGTGAGTGAAGAGTATTGATGTGCTCCATATCTACCAAGTAAAAGTAGGCCTTGACTCTTATGTTCTGCTCTCACTACATGGGCAATTGAGAAAGATGTTACGAAGAACCAAGTACTTTTGAAAGTATTTTGTTAATACAGTAGAATGGTGCGCAAATCACTGAAATAATCAATCAGGATTCTTAAGCGCAATGAATTTCAGAGATCTATCAGAAACTCCTCTCTTGTATGTCACTTACAAATAAAAAAGTATTAAGCAGGAACAGTGGAGGATAAGGATTCTGAGACTTGGTGGTACATCATTAAATCAGTCTGAATACTGTTATCATGCTTTCATTCATCCAGCATAATCTGCATTTAGCATTTGCACAAAATATGTGAAGCCTTCATCTTCCTAAAGGAAAAAAGGTTGACAGTGAATAGAACTCCTACAAATCATTAAAACTCAACATGATCTTGTGGTCACCGGAGTAAAAGGATTGAATGAATTGCTCTCAGTTTGAATGTGCTGATATCGTCATATAAGATTGCAGCTTTTCCGCAGCAAATCTCCTGTATGCTTTTAAATTGGTACCTTAATGTCAAAATTTGCATGTAATGATTTATCTTTCAAGTGAAATAAATCAAACAAGGCTGCGACATTTAAATTTTAATTTTGTTGAGATGCTGGTACAGCATTTTGAGCCTAAAAATCAGTTGACATGTTAGAAAAAACTGGTTAACCCTCTGAAAGGGAGCCTGAATTACTGTAGTAAATTCTTACATCACTGACAGCTTGTGTGTGCTTACAACCCCAGCAGAGGACACTTTGCTCTGTTAGGAGAACATTAAAATGGTTCTGGTGAGTGGAATTGGATGCCGCATAAGGTTATAGAATCTTACAGCTCAGCTTATTATGCTTGGTATGGGTTCTTCAAACAAGTATCCAGTTAGTGCTGCAACCTTGTCCTTCCCCAATACTCTTTTCCTGCCAAAATATCTGTCCAATTCTCTTTTGAAAACTATTACTAATTCTGCCCCAACCACCACGTTCGAATAACTCGCTGTGGGGAAAAAAAGCTCTGCACCTCACCCCTGATTTGATTTTGTCAATGGTCTTAAATTTACATTGGGTAAATGTTGGCTAGTAAGTCTCTCCTAAATATACAACACTTGTCCAGAGACAACACCTAGAAATGTGATTCTTGCCCTTCGGAGTTGCTTTCACACTCACCCTTCTTTTCCTCGGTTGTGGATTGCGAGTTCATCACCAATGCCCTCCTTTTCTTTGAAAGCTTCCCAGTCGAGCTTCGATTTCTCCAAGGTGCTCATCTTCTGTTTCTTTCCCGTGATCTTTCCCAGAGCGCCACCCAACCCACACAGCCTCTTCACCCTGCGTTCAGAAGATAAAGCATTTTTTAAACAATCATTGACTGTACGGCTACAAATCCTCTTCACGACCTGCCTATGCATTGCTTTGCTATCAAATGTTCCGAAGATTTATTGAAACGCTAAAATATTCTGTTTTATATTAAAAAAAATTAGAAAAATGTTGTAACTTCCCAAGTCATTGTGCATCCAGTGATTTGCACATTGATGCAATGTGACATTGATTGAATCCAGACAGCTCAGGTTACATTTGATAACGAATACTGTGCATCATTTACACAACTAACAGCAGAAGACAACAGCTATTTCAGCAACTGTGCACTGCAATTATGTTAAGGTTTGAGTGATCAAACACATGTCACATCTCCAAACTGGAACACTCAAAGATGGTTAACAAGACCTTACATATACACGAGTATTAAAAATATCTATAAAAAGGCAATTAAGCTATTTAAAAAAAGCTTGATACATATATTTCCCTCTGAGCAATATTTCCTTATTGCCAGCACATCTCTTCAATTTGATTCAAGCTTCTCTCCAGCTGCCATCATTGTTTCTCCCTGACCAGACAGCAAAGATGAACAATTCAAACTGGACAAGCAATTCTTAATGTCTCCTCCCTTCAAATAAGGGATAGCCATCTAGATAATTGGCCGTTTGTGAAGCAATGTTTTGTTCTGAGTTTGAATCACAGTGAGTGGGTCCACCTTTTGAGATTGATAAAATGAGCTCATGGCAGTGTGTAAAAACATCCTGGATGACTAGGAGGTAAGCAGGTTCCTCAGTGGACCCCAAGATGGCTCTGAGCAGACACCCCTGACAAAAACTAGTTTGCAATAATCCATGGCAGACATGGACGTGATTTTATGTTCTCAACCCTACGAGCCAAAGAGCATGAGGATCTTATCTGGACCCGCACTCATTTTTTTACCCCATTCATTATCTCATCCAGCTCCCTAGGTACGAATGGACCAAAAATGTTTTTGCCAATCTAAGATAAGGCGGCTGCAGGTTAGGCAGCCTTCGGATATTTTTGTAGAGTTCAGACATAGGGAGATGGGGGGGTGGGGGGGGGTCAGGGAAATCAGTGGGAAAGATAACGGGGGCTGCTCTCATTCTCCCCCTAGTGGCTAGAGAAAACACAGTACTGGCAGGAGTCTGGGAGGAGACTGAATGGTTCGTCTAACCTTTCAATCAGTAAATGGGGAAGAAATGTAAAAGCAGCTACACATCTTTGCAGTCGGATCTCCTAGTAATCATAAGTGAAGGCCAGCGGACTAGTGGCTTGGTCCTCCTATACAACGATGCTATACAAATGTAATTTGTTGTTGTCTTCCCTGTAAGCGTAACCATCTTATCTGCTCCTGCATGCTTCACATAGCTTGCACTCAGATAATTCTCTTGAAACGGTCAGAATACCTTCCACAAATAAAATAAATCAAGAATGTCAAGAGGAAAAATGGATGAGAGACTGGGAACAATTTCTCCACTCCGAGTTGTTACAGTTTGCCACTGAAGCTGGATCAGTAGAATTATTCAAAAGTAAACTAGATAATAAGCACATGAGCAATAAAAACACCAAGAGATGTGGGGAAGGAGCTGGCAAAGTGGGATTAATAGAAAAAGGCTAGAAAAACAGGAACCATGCACACATACAATGGGCCAAGCAACCTGTTTAGGTAATTAAACTTTCTAGGTTTCTGAAATACTTCACACCTGGGTAAGGTATTGGGTGAAATAAACTTTCACTCAAAAGCTTCGGATTTTTTTTGAAAGGTTAACACTTCCATCATCCGTACAGNAAAAAAATACAAAATGCAGTTTCCTAAACATGGACGAAATCATTCAAATGCATAGTGTTACGCAAGTCTGATTAGCAAAGAAAATGTATGGATATTTAAGCTTACAACAGCCCTGAATGGTACCAATAAAGATTCAAGAGATTTAAAGGACAATTGGAATACTAGAACAAAACAAATGATTCAATAATCCCAAAGTACTTCCTCGTTCCAAAAAACATAAATAACTGGCAACCACAGTGTTCCTGGTATCTACAATGTGCTTTACCCAGCACACAAAGATCTGATAATATCAATGCTTTTAAGCCATTTTGCTTAAGAGACATAAGAATTCTTTCAGATTATCTGGTCACATGGCAGAGATTTCTGGAAAAAAACACTTCAGACCACATCTTGTCCTCAGCAACTGGTACACTTTCAGGCTATCATTAAGATGGACCCAAAAACATTGAGGACAGACTGCGCACTATAATCCTAAATAACCAATTTTTATCACTTTGACCATTTAGCAGCTTCCTTGCAAAATATACATTTTTTATTTCAGTTTTTAAATGTTTATTTTCCTGTCTAACTTCCTCCTCAGAACACATGGAGGACTCTTCGATAAAAGAGGGAAGCAACTGAATTATGGGTCTCCATGTATCTAATTCTTAGCCAGTTTACAGGGGATGAGCAAGAACTCCTTATTCTTTAGAGGAAGCAGACCGCAAGTTCAGGAAGTCCTGTTTTGGGAAATCCTGTCTACAACTTGCATCTGAAAACACTTTATGAGTCCACTGCATCAGCGAATTGGGATCCTTAGCCCCCAACAAAATAACTCGTAGAAACATTATTCTGGTATTTCGAGATTATACATAGATCTAGTTATGATATTCTAAGAGTGTAATCTGTGTTATGAAAGCTGTGGTTGGAATCACAAAGATTAGAAACAATATATAATTTAATAAAGCATCAGATTTACAGAAATATCACAATCCAAAAACTAGAAATGGAAACAGAATATGCTGTATTAATGTTTTGGGTGTTAATCTTTAATTAAAATAGGAGGGTTTCTTTAGAGGATAGAGGAGCAAAAGATGCCACATCAGGAAACATAATGAAGAAATTAGGGGAATTTAAACAAATAACTACATAAACAAAGAATCAGCAAATAAGTCTTCAGACACATTGTGAATATTGGAAAGGTGTTAAAGGCTTGTAAGCAAGATGGATACAAGTTACAGTAATAAAAAGGGAATCATTTCATAATTTGTCAGCGTATGTATGGTATTGATAGAATTCTTCACCTTTGCCCAATTGCCATAAATAATATCCTACAGGGAAATTGAAACACACAGCCCACTTTGATTGTTCGTGAGTTACAAGGTTAGGTCACTCATAAATTATTTTCCACATCTCATGGATGAATGGGTGACATCCTTCACCTTCATTTTCAAAGTATCAAGAGGGAATCTACAACCAATAAATGATCTAATGCAGGTTTGATGGTTTGTGTTCAAGCTTCGTGTCAGTACTTTTATTGCCAGAATTCTTAAAGCACAATTAAAAAGGTCAATTTTCCCAAACCACATCAGTGCATCCATATTCTAAGCCACGTGCATTTCAAAGTATTTCAGCTGTTTCATGCAGTTCAACTCATAGAATAAGGCTTCAAAGGCACGCAAGCTTTGCTACAAAGAAGTAAAGTTTTCCAAAACTGCTGGTTTAATTACAGACTGCAAAGCTGCCTTACCTTACCTTGATTTACCTCAGTGTTCTATCTGGTCAGACCAGTTGAATAATACAAATCTGGAAGATTCTCGGTTAGATCTATGTGCGCTCTGAGACGCCGTCCGGCGTGGAGGGCACTATATAAATCCAAGTTGTTGTTGTTGTTGTATGTGGTGTTAAGCTAGCTCTGTTGAGGCACTGGTGAGCATTATAATTGGGCTTCTATGCCCAGGATTCAAGGGGGTTGGGGGGGCGGGGTTACAGTTCCAATTACTGATCACTATCCAATTACTGATGTTCTCGGAGTTAAAATAACCTGCTGGTACTCATAGTCAAGGTGTACATATGAACAATGACCACTTGGGGAAGGTACCACAGGTTACCCAGCACCAGGCTGTGGAACCATACCCCAGTAGTAAGGGGGAAGGAAATCTTTCTTCTACCACAGAATTAACTGCAGTGCAAGTGTGAGATCCTCTTGCTCTTACTGCTTGCCAATGGGAAAAGGTACACCGATGGAGAAATCGTGCCCTTATAATTATAATTCTTACATCTTTCATAATGGATATCATACCCCTTAAAAGAAAGTCTGACATTCATTCTTTCCTTTCTGTAAACATGAAGGTATACATGAGTTGGGACTCCAGGTGAGCTGGTATGTTGAAGTAGGATGTGGGTTTTGCACATAACGATGATGAACAAATTACTCATTCTCCACCAACAGTTAAGAAATTGATCAAAGGCAAGGCTGCCTGCATCTCTCCAGTTTTCAGTGAAACCACATGGTGGCTGAGCACACCTGTACAGTGGTAACATTGCCTAGTCGTTGCTGGAATTTTGAATTTTTGTTACTGAGTTACCATTGCATGACTTGCATTTTGCAAAATCCAAAGCGAAACACATCTTGTGAGACAGCTCGAGGCTTTAATGGATACGTTAAGAGTCCATTGTGAATGGTGGATTTAATTAAGGCAACAACAGAAACAGGTCAAATACAGCATTTACGTTAAACCCAATAATCAGTTGTTGTGTACACTGCTCTTTCTGAATCATTCAGGTGATTGACACATCAAAGCGTTCAGACTATTTTCATTATGTTTGACCGATCATTGAAAGAAAAAGGACTGCAAGCTGGCTTTGAGTAAGCCTTAGTAATTATGGCCACCTTGCTTCTGAAGGTTGATCCACCCCTTAAAATATAGATAGTCTGTTCAAAGTCTGTTAATTTTTAATAAGTGGGTCTGGCCAAAGAAGGAAATCAAGTTTCAAATGTGAACTGCACGCGTCCTTAAGGCAAATCAATTTGAGTAAAAAATAAAAGCCATTTCTATTAAAGGACACAAGCAAACGTTCAATTAAAAGTCATACTGTATTCTTCTTTCATCTTTGTATCCTAAAGCTAAACACAAGAGGCGATATTCTTCTTGCTGCTCCGTGTACTGATGATGACAATGTCTGCTAACAATGGGCAAAATCCCATTATAAGTGCACTTAG